TGCATAGGCGCATAAGCGTAAACATAAGAATCTTGATTGGTCTATGAACGTATGCATAAGAAATTTAACCAATCGAATTTCTTATGCATACGTTCATAGACCAATCAAGATTCTTATGTTTGCGCTTATGCAAAAGTGTGTGCTCCCCACTTTACTGCTCAACCGTGATTAGTCGATTCGCTTAAGTTCTACTACTTACTGCTTACGTTTTTTTTGTGCCACGGCCTATGCGGAAAAGATACAGAAAAATGCGGAAAAGCGCTGATTGGCTGTTCAATTCACGCATTCTTTGTTCCGCAAGTCGATTTCCGTATCATAGGATCGCACCCTTAGAATGAAACAAGTATATTTTGTCTCACTCTAACTTATTGCACCAATGTGCATTAGTTTATTAATGCAGAAACAGAAAACAAACCCATAATCAGGATTGGTTCATAACGAATTAGGCCGGGTCTACAATAGGTGTAGTAAACTGTAAGCCTTAAGAAATTCACTAAGCGCAGTCAAGAATGAGGGGAATATAATCGACTGTTATTGATGAATTTCTTAAGACTTAGAGTTTACTATACTTATTGTAGATCCGGCCTTAATTGAAGTTTAAGAGGTCTACAATAGGTGTAGTAAGTTCTAAACCTTAAGAAATTGATCAATCACCGTCGATTATTCCCTTCATTCTTGACTGTGATTGGTGAATTTCTTAAAGCTTAGAGCTTACTACACCTGTTGTAGATCTGGTCTAAAGCGGAGGCTACAATGGCAGCAGGAGTACAGAGCAGTAAGCAGTACGAAATGAGATTCGCTCATTTCGTCGAAAGTAACGGAATGAGCAAATCCCATTTCGTACTGCTTACTGCTTACTCTTGTACTTTGTACTTCCGCTGCCATTGTAGATCCCGCTTTATACTGTGTCTGTGCTTTATTGCAGTTGGCAATTTATTTAAATTTAATCGGCTGATTAAGTTAATCAAATAATGATAAAACTAGCCTAGACTAAAAATAATGATAAAACTAGCCTATAGACTAAAGACTAAAAATCTTAGAACATATATACCTGGAAGGGGAATTGCTATTGTTCTTCATGGTAAAAATCTGTGTCCAAGTTGGGTGCGAGAGAGAAAGATAGCTTTTAACCTATACTCGCAATGCGCAAACGTAGATGACGTCACGGTGACGTCACGCTCACCGCGCCGTTTGAAACTGGAAATGTAATTGGTGCTTTCGCTAATTCGCGTTTACGCATTGCGAACGGAGGTAACAATCTACCCTTCTCTTTCCTTAAAAACGTGGTTCTCTCTCGCACCCAACTTACACACAGTTTTGCGCTCCTATTCCCCTTCCATATCTATATGTTCTAAGCTAAAAATAGCCTATAGACTAAAAATAATCAGCCGATTAAATTTAAGAATTGCCAACTGCAAAATTTGAAACTGATCAACTTTATCCACATTTATAATAAAAAAATATGTGCTTTGCAGTTAGTAATTTTTAAACTTAATCAGCCAGTTAAGATAATAAAAAACTAGCCTTAAATAATGTGATGCAATTAGGCTTATTTTCTGTTCCTGCATTAATGAACTAGTGCACACTGGTGCAATAAATTAAAATGAGACAAAATGGATGCTTTTCAGCAAGAAAGATACAGATAGACACTGTGTAACACTAGTGTAATACAATTGAGCACAAAGCGACTTAGCTAAAGAGTTGAGTAAGATTGTGTTATATTGTGTAATAGTAGAAAAGCACTTGTGTTGCACACAGTGTGACAGTGTCGCCTGTGTTACTTGCTGAAAAGCACTCAATATGTCTTGTCTTAAGGTGCAATTTCACGTTCCACTAAAACAAGTGATTGAAGCGACAGATTTGTTACTCATAATCACGGTCGTATACACAGGTCTTGCAACTTCGGTAGTGGGAGGTGACTCACATACAAGAAGACTAGAGATTAGGAGACCGAACTCCAGTAGTGGGGGTCAAAATATAGTCTCATTTCCTGGGCGCTGTTCACAGTATGGTCGTTGGTCAATTCATGAACTACGACGTGCTGGATTTTGCTTGTTTTATCAAAAAAAGGTTTCCTATGTGAATTTCGCCGTTCCTAAGTATCGTATATTATTTATTAATACTTGCGACATCAAAGTTTACATTCTGTCAAGATGCCAAGCTTATGTTCTTAGTTATATTGCATAAAACTTCGAAGTCCAGCACATCGTAGTTCATGAATTGGCCGGCGATTTTACCGCGAACAGCGCCCATGAAATGAGACTGTATTTTGACCAGGGTTGGGAAAGTTACTTTGTAAAAATAACTAGTTACAGTTACAGTTATCTTATTGAAACAGTAACTAGTTACAGTTACAGTTACTCAAAAGTAACGAGTCGTTACTTTTCAATTACTTTTTAAAAATAATTATACATTATTTTAAATATAAGGAGCTTACATATTATGGACAACTACAGTCAAGTATTTAAAAAAATTCTTGAATGTAATATTGATCAATTTGTTTGCGACTTTGCGATTACCATCAATGTATGAATGACCTTTATATACAACAGTAAAAATAGTTATATATGGTAACTTACTAAATAGTAATCGCAAAGTCGCAAGCAAATCGATTAATTATTACATTTAAGAATTTTTTTAAATACTTGACTGTGATTGGTCGATTGTAATTATGTGTTGTATTATTTTATGTACACAAAATGAAAATTTTAGGTAAAAAATTAAATTATATAAAGATCTCTCTATATATATATATATGCTACTGTTATCAAAATTTAATTTAACAATATAACGGCTACCATACTTAAACAATACTTTTAGCGAATGTTTCCAAAAAAAGTAATTAATAAAGTAACTGTTAAAATAGTTACTAGTTACTAAAAAAATGTAACTAAGTTACAGTTACAGTTATAGATGGAGAAAAGTAACGAAGTTAAGTTACAGTTACCGAAAAAAAGTAACTGTAACTGTAACTTCGTTACAAGTAACTCGTTACTTCCCAACCCTGATTTTGACTTACCTCCACCACTGAAATTCTAAGGAGTTTGGTCTCCTGTTCTCTAGTCTTCTTGCTTACATATTGAAGTCGTGCTTTATGATTCACAATATGGCCACAAGGAGCGTTGCGATCAAATTCTTCTGCATACGACAGATATTAGCTGCAGTACTGACGAGATAAATTATAAATAATATATAATAATATATATAATAATTATAATAATTATAATTATTATAATATATAATAATATTTATTTATTATTTAAATATATTTAAATATATTTATATAAACATTTTTTCACACATCTATGGCACCTCTGAATATATTCAAACACAAGATTTTGTTTCGATTTTCAATTGACATCTACAAGTTTAAAGTCTGCGTTTACCAAGCGCAATCGATAGCAACGACATATAATGCTATAAACTAAAAAATTGCTTCAATATTCGAGTCACTCCCTACCACTGAAATTTACCATAATTGCAAGACCTGTGTATACGATCGTGCATAATTTAGCACCAACAATTTTGTAGTTTGAATCAGTTCAACTACATAGCATTTACTGCTCAAACGCTCAACTTTCAATTCTGTCGCGCTGCTATCCTTTTCATCTACAATAATTATCACTGTTTAATTCAGCGACAAAAATTTGTTACGTGATCATTTTTGTCGCTCAAACAATCGGTTTCAACGGCTCGTAAAAAGGCACCTTTATTCTAACTTGTTGCACTAGTTCGTTAGTACAGGCCAAGGTCCGTAGATGAACGACGGGAGGGGAAGGAAAGTCGCATGAGCCGCCATTTTGGGACCACGAAGTTATGTGTGTTGTATGTTGGTGTGTGTCGTACGAAGGTTAATGAAAAAAAACTATAGTTGAACAGCTGTCTGGTGGCTGGATTGGCGGCACCATTTTGGGGCTCATGCTGAAACAATGATGCGACGACCTTACTTCCCCTCCCGTCGTTCATCTACGGACCTTGGCACAGGCACAGAAAGCAAGCCTAAAGCGGGGAGCACACACTCTTGCATAAGCGCATAAGCATATGCATAAGAAATCGATTGGTTGAATTTCTTATGCATATGTTTATAGACTAATCAAGATTATTATGCTTACGCTTGTGCGCCTATGCAAAAGTGTGCTCCCCGCTTTATATTTGACATTTGATAACTGGCATTGTATAACAAATGTTTCTTGCTGGAAAGCTGCTATAGTATTTATAGTATTTATTATATTTTAAGTATTTATTATATTTTCTTGCTGGAAAATTTCCTTAAAATGGGTTAAGAGCTTTTCAACAAGAAAATATAAATAAACATAACAATATGATGAAGTTAGCTGACAAGTAAAAATTTTCTTTTCTGAAAAAGCTACTGATTTAATACGATTGCAACAAAGATACAAATAGAACAGTAGAAGCTTCATACATTATACATTGTATATCTAATAAAATGATAACGATGACAGGCGAGAGGGGAAAAGACAGACTTGCTTACATTTGCATAATCACTTGATCTTTTGCTTTCTGAATGACGTAAAAGTGATAATAGGTTATTACTATTTTGTCATGACCGATATTTCTCGGGGATTTCACGAGTCACAATTGACGCGTACGCGTGGTCTTACAACAATTTGCACGAGACTATCGTAATATGACACGTGACAATACATGCTGACTGCAACTGAACGTAAGTTGTGATATGTATATAAATTATACATTCACACAATGTGATTATACTAATCCTAAGGCAAACAAAACACTAATAGTGAAATTTTTGTTCTCTATTGCGAAACTTGTGATTTTTATATTAATATATTTTAGTGTATTGTATATATTTTAATATAAATTATATATTATTTCATGTTTTAATATATATTTTTTAAATATATATTTTAATATATAACATTTAATTATATTTTAATATATACATTTTAAATATATTTTAATATATATATATATATATATATATATATTTTATATATATACTTTAATATTTTCTAAAGATGGTCAATGTGGAAAAATTCATCAACATTTGGCAAACTGCCGATGCTGTTACATTTGATGTTGACTCAACTGTTATTGCTGATGAAGGAATCGATGAGTTGGCTCGTTTTTGTGGAAAAGGAGAAGAAATCTGTGAATTGTATGTATTTTCTTAAATTTGTAATTCATGATTTATTTTTTAATGTAGATTCCAAGTTTTTTGCTATAATATCGCAATATATTTTTCAGGACTAAACAAGCAATGCAAGGTGATATGACTTTTCAGCAATCTTTGTCAATGCGATTGCGCATCATAAATCCAAGTTTAACTAAAATAAAAGAATTCTTGAATGCACATCAACCAAAACTTACCAATGGTATCAAGTAAGACATTTATTTTCTAGGATATGAAAATAAATCTTAATCAATTACGATATATTATATATTGCTAAGAATTTATATTTCTCAGAGAATTGGTATCAGCTTTACAAGCTCATGGAAAGCATGTGTTCCTTGTTTCGGGAGGGTTCCATTGCCTTATTGCACCTGTAGCTAAACAATTAAATATACCACGTGAAAATATTTATGCCAATAGATTGAAATTTTATTTCACAGGTAAATATTATATAAATATTAATAAATTTTACTGCTTTTTTAAAAGAAATACATAATACATTTATACATTACATAAATATGATTGTTATAGGGGAATTTGCTGGATTTGATGAGAATCAACCAACATCAAGAAATGGAGGCAAAGCAGAAGTGATAGAACATCTTAAAAAAGAGAAAGGATTCAAATGTGTGATACATATAGGTGATGGATCAACTGATATGGAAGCATCACCTCCAGCAGATGCTTTTATAGGTATATTTATAAAATATTTATTTAAGGAATCTTGAGAGTAATCAAGTTACTTTTGAAAGATTTCCAATAAATGTTTTATAATATTCTTATGCTGAAATAATGATAAAATCATTTAAATAAATAATTATACATTTAATTTTGTATGTTTGCACAGGATTTGGTGGTAATGTCATTCGGGAAAGTGTAAAAGCACGTGCAGAATACTTTGTGATGAACTTTGATGATCTTAGGAGAAACTTATAAATGTAAAATAGTGTGTATAAAATATATATATATATATATATATATATATTAAAATATATATATATACATATATATATATATATTAAAAATATATATATATACACATATATATATATATATAAAATATATATATATATATATATATATATATATATATATATTAGTATTATATATAAGTATATATATTTATTTATATTATATATATATATATATATATATATATATATATATAAGTATATTATATACAAGATGTCCCAAATTAAAACTGTTTTGGCACTAGAGAATCAAAGACTAAAATATTATTTGATGCCAAAAGTCTAGGTACAGTCGAATATTTCATAAACAATGCATTTAAAAAATGTTTCAAATAAAAATTGAATCTTAGTTGTTTAAAAATATCTATTTACTGATCTTATCACTTTGACCTTTGATGACGTCAAAGTCAGGGCAAGATTTATCTTGAGTTTTTTAAACGAAACCACTATATTTTTATATACAAATTTTATTTATATATATATATTACTTTATATATCAAATTTAAATATAAAATATTTTGTAAAATTATTCAATTCTTGATTATTTTGCCCTTATTAATTTTATATCGAAAATTACGAGGAATCAATTCCTTTTCCTTTTCTAAAAAAAGGTAGTTCGAGTCGATTCTCGCAAGTATTGTTGCTCTTTTCTGAGGTTGATTGACTGTCTCGATCACTTCACGTTGTGTCTTATATTCTGTATTCATAATAATTAAATAAAATCAATAAAAAACTGAACAATAGCGCGCGTTTGTATTATTTAGTTTATATAAAAAATACGGTGTTTTTATTTAAAAAATATAAATAACCTTGAAAAGCGTCCTTCAGAAAAAAATTTAGTAGTATCATCTTCTGTTCGTCTTCAAATCAAACTTTTGTTTGAAACATTTCGTGGTACAATCAAAAATAAAAATGGGACATTATGTATATTACAATTAGATAAATATATTATAAATATATATTTTTATATATTAAATAAATATTTATTAAAAAATAATTTTTTTGCATATTTATAAAACGTAATATATTTTTATAAAGAAGATATACCTGTTTTTTTTTTTTATAAAAAATGAACTAATTTTGAAATTTTAGTCAAAAGATAAACAAAACTATACTAGTCAGGTTGTTAAATGTTGAAAGTAAGAAATCATAACTTTTTTCTTGGAATATATGTAAAAATAAATTAATATTTATGTCACCACTCACATTTGATTTGTAAAGTCTCAATTTTGCATTAAGGATTGGTACAAGGACTAAAAAAACAGATTTACCCTTATTGAGAATAAATTTATGACATAAAATAAATAAGATAAATTAATTTAAAGAAAATATATAACAATGATCTTATAATTTAATAGCATCAGTGAAGAACTAAATGTCTGGAGTAAAAAATTGCGATTAACAGATCGATTTGTATAGGATATACTTAAACTATATAAATTAAAATTGACATAATTTGAAAAATGTGAATAATATTCATAAATATTATATTTTATTCTCTATAGTACATGAAATATAATGAACAATGAATAATTTTTTTATATAGCAATTTCTAAAGTTGTGTATCATTTATGTGTATAACATTTCACTTCAATTCAGGAATTACTATTAATATAATTGCGATTCTAAACTACAATTCTGTACATAATTACATTTTCAAATTTGTATACAAAATTATTTATCTATTATTGACAAGTCGAACATCAGCGAACGATAAAATCCAAATGAATAATACATATTCAAGTTTTATTTTTTGTCAATTCAAACTGAAATAATTGCCGTAAAATCAAATTTTTTGCGACAAAATCTTTTACATAATATTATCGATATGTATTATTTTTAATGTCTTATAATGACTTTAAAGATCGCCTATGGTTCGACATTACGACAAATTATGTATCAACGTTTAACTTTTCTCGTTTTTTTTGTGAAATCCATTCTTGTATTTTCTGTTGAAGCTCTACATTTGATTTTATCATATCCATAGTAAGAGGAGATCGATTAAAAGGATCAGTCTGATCACTTAGTAAATGTCTAAAATATATTGATATTGATAGATAATATTTTATGTAATATTATAATATTATAATATATATATATATATATATATATATACCTTGCTATAGTTTGACGATCGAGAGTTATTTTTGATGATGGCAAAATTACAGGATCTGTCATAACAGTTGACATAATTGGATCTAGAAATTCGTCGGGAATACCAATCAAAATTTCATCTTCTTCTCGCTTTTGATTCGCAGCCTTTTCCACGCTCTTCGCAAATTGATCCAAATCTCCCAAGATTCTCACACCACCGATACGAACTATATGACATATATACGTTATTTTTTTTTAAATATATTTTTTATCTTTACCTCGTCTAGCTAGATAGATAAATCGCAAATAAAATTGAGAAAAATATAGAAACGCTTACCAAGCACATTGTCAGCAAGTTTAAAAAGTTCTGGGCTATAAGAGCGTCCGTCTTGCGACACAGCTAGTGTAAAGTTTTCATTTTTACTCAAATTAATATAGATCTCACATATATTCAACACTAAATTTGCAGGATCAAATGCATATTCTTTTTGATCATTCACCTAGAATTGTGTGTGTGAAATTATGATAAATCATATTTAACATACTATTTCTGACGCGCATATTCGCAAATCTTAAGTTACCTTGAGATTTTTTTTATTTGGCCCCACCAATTGTAATAATAAATAATTAAGCATAGAAGCAATGCGATCTACCATGGTCGGATGACAAAAGATTGATTTTATTTCAGTGGTCAGCATTTTTATCGTTTGTATAGTTTTTCTGCCCAGAATATTATCAAATCGAGCAATCATACCAATGTGTTGAAGATAGCCTGCTTGCTGTTCGCGTTCATTTGGCGGCAGTTTATTCCACTCTCCGTTTTCCCTTGTATTTATAAAAACAGAGCCATATACAAGGTGATACATTTTAATCGCCCCAGGCAAATATTTCGAAAACTGGGAGATACGAAAAAATATTTCAAACAAAAGTTTTTGACTTTGAGGGAGACAAGATGGTGTCATTACTTTGACCTTATATAATCATTTGAAGGTCATGTAAAGGTCATCTTCAATTTCTTAAATGGAACCTACTATTTTTCATTGCATATTCTTGTAGCTTATCTCGAGAGCTAAGAAATTGAAGGTGATCTTCATGTGATCTTTAAATGAATATACAGGTCAAATCAATTTTTTTTCTCATCTTTCATGGTTTTCGAAATATTTGCCTGGGGCAATTAAAATAAATCACCCTGTATATATATTTAATGCAAAAAAAAACAAAACTTCATGGATTCAAAAAGATAATATCCAATAGAAAGAAATTGTATAATACTATGCAATTTTAGAAATACCTAGCTTGCAGCATTTGTTTTAACTGTGCCATATTTGACAAGGCCTCGTCCAAGAGAAATACAGCGTCGTTCATTAATAAATTAATAAAACGTAGGAATAGCGGTGGCTGAACTGCTTCCATGTTGTTTTCCGCTTCTTTAGCTAAAGCACTGATACATTAAATAAAAAAATGTTTTATCTCCTGGTGTCCAATTTCATATGGAGTATAGAATGAGAACATGTGATTAAATACCATATAATTATTACTTACATAAAATAATGACGATGTTCATCAAGTTTCCATAAATAATCCATCACGATATACATCGGTCGACGATAATTGAATTTTTGTTCAAATTGTACACTTTGCCCTGTCATTTCAATGCTTACAAACACATGGAGCAAATTAGGGACTATCTATTTGCAAAGAGCATAGAGAATTAATGCATGAGAAAATAATTAATTAACGCATTTTTTCCTAAGTAGCAAACTGACGTCATTATCTGACATCAAAATGACGTATGCTTTCTACTTGGGTTGTCAATATTCTATGTCGAATTTTGCTTACTTGTTGCCTATATGGATGAAGGAGGAACAACTGTTCCCTGTGGAATGTTCCTAAGTTAGGTATTGCCGGAGTAACGCTCTCGTCTGTAGTCGGTAAAAGTGCCTCTAGACTTTCGGCTAAACGAGCGCGTAAATGTGGATTGTACAAACGATGCTGAGACTCCATTAAAACTATAATCTATAATAAAAGAAGAATCAATGTGCAATTTAATAATTATAATTGTGCGATGATGATATACTCTCACTTTGCCTTTACTATAGATCTTTCTCGAGTAGGGAAATCGGATTTGATCTTACAATTAGGATCACTCATTTCTCTCTACTTATCTACATGTTTTCTTATGTCACTTACTCCTGTCAAAATCGGATTTAGAAAACTGGAACCCTGCTCCTCGAATGTGTTCGGACTCAAGCGGCGTAAAAAACATAAGAATCCAATAGTGTTCTCTATTATGAACTCGGGAATGCACCTACAGAAATGTAACTTGTCAACTTTTCAAATTATTTATTGCATTATATATACTTATATATATATATATATATATATATATATATATATATATATATAGTATTACCTTAGTGTATTTGGAACAATCTCTGGTAATGGGAATGTAACAGGTATATATTGCTTTGGCGCAAAACATTTTTCTTCTTCAGTAATGACATGTAAATTTACTTGTACCAACCAAAATGCTGTCATTGCGTGAAATCTTGCCAAGTGTTGCAACATTTCTGGTACTAAAAGGCCTGCTTTAAGAGACAAGTATCTACAATAATTTTATAAATTATATAAAAAAATTACAACAGAAAACAGTATTTAATTGTATATGTGTACTGTCAGTTTGGATACACTTGCTTATGTATTTATATAATTTATATTTAACAGGACCTCCTAATTTTTCAGGAAGTTTTTGTATTATGAATTAATTAGTCTAATAATTTATATTAAATATTTAAATGTTTCCGATCTCTAATAACAGAATTCACTGAAAATATCAAAAGTGGATATGATGCAAATATTTACTTCTGTACTCTCTCAAGAGTGGATAGAATGCAAATATTTACTATTACCATTAATAAATTAATAGAATAGCACAACATGGGTGAAAATAATCACTAAAATCAAAGATGCATATTTTCATAAAAGTGTAACAGTTTTTTGTTAAAAGTGTGAGATTGAGTTAATGTTTTTACTTGAATTTTCAATAGCTGTATTATATAGTTTTGTATTATAAAATAATAATTATTTAATAGATGATTAATAAATATTATAAAAATAAATATTGTAAAAAAATAATCACTTGCTTTTAGTAATTACAAGTCACATTAAAAAAAGAAAATTGTTTTATATCTATTCTGTTAAAGATGTATCCAAACTTTATGCCAGCAGTATATATAATTAATGTGTTTATTAGTACTTTATCATCTCAGTCTCCATTCGTTGTGTTATAAGTTCCAGCACCTCTGAACTACCACCAATTTGAGCATCATTGTAAGCTCTTTGTATTCTAGCTAAATCTTGATTTGTCCTATATAATTAAAAATGACAAAATATTTTAATATTAATTAAATTAAATAATTTATTTGAATTTAGGTAATTAATTTTGTAATTTAATTATAACACTTGATAAGGATCAGAACCAATGGTTGATACGTGCAATTTACAATCAAAATTCATGTCAGTTTGGTCCGAGAAAAATAATAAAAAATTTATTATTAATTTTACACTGACGACTTACTTTACTTCATAATTGTACAATATATTACTAAGATATTAAAAAAATTACATAATTATTTCTTTATACCTTAAAAATTTGTCAAGTATAACTCTGTAGCCAAGATCTAATGCACGATGTGTAAGGAAAAAACATTCTGTTGTAAATCCATATGAATCTGCTATTGGTCGCCTCTCGCCTTCTGGAGTTGGAATCAAACATGTTTCAGAACTCAATTCTTTCATATGTATACCATATTTTAAACTATCGGTTTCATTTTTCACCTAAGAAAATGCATATATATAATAATACTGTATATAATAATTAAGCATTTATGTGTAACTTTTTTTAAACTTTCAAAAGACCAACCTCGGCACTACAATATGTAGGATCTATCTTCGGTATTTTGGTATCATTAAACTTAACACAAAATGGTTGACAAAGACGTAACAATACATTGCCCACATTCAGCATAAAACCATCAGACACGCACAATACTCCAAGTAATCCCATGTCCATTTGAGAATTCCAAAGTTTTCCTCTATTCGCATTTGCATGAAGACAATCGCTCAGCCATTGCAAAGTTAAATAACGAACTTCTGTCGAGCACTTGAGCAAGGAATGAAAAACTTTGTGTAACTGTTCGCTCAGTCTATCCATAGCTATCCATATGTTACTTTCCATGACTGTATTTGACTACAAGAATTGCATAATGTAGTAAACACACAAATTCTGTAATTTAAAAGATTCTATTCCATTACTTAAAAAAAAAAAAATTATCGTACTTGCCGTAGAGGTTTATCGAACATATCATATGGATCATTAGCTGTTTTTGGTAAGCAGCTTATGCTGAAGAATCCACCTAATAATGTATCTGAATATGCGCAGCCTTGATTATTTTTTGGTCTGCTATGACAAATTATCAATTTTGCCAATGGTTCAATAGCAGAAAATATATGCAGTAAAATAAACCATTGTTGACGAAAGGTAAATAGATTACTTTGAGCTGCCTCCTTCTGAACAATATCGAGTATAGGAGCAAACGATTTCATTATTATTTCTTCCACATCGCTCTCTCTATTCGCTGCTATTAATTCCTCTATCATATCATTAACAAATAATGATAATTCTGACTTTGATATAACATCGTCCATAAATAGAGCAACAAACTGACTGTGAACCTATAAAAAAGTAGATATATATAATTATAAAATTATTATAATTAATTTTATTATTATATAATTATATATATACTATATAATTATAGTGTTTCCAGGTTAAATAGCCAAACTTAAAATACGAATTTAGAACTTCAAAACAAATATTTTATCTGGACGTTTGCTTGTAAACCATTCCCTGAAGATATTGACTTTTGAAATTTTGAACCATAGAAATAAATAATATTAAAATAATTTATCTTTTTTATTGCTTTACAGTAATCAATTTAATGTAATTATTAAATATTTTGTTCAAAATAATGATCTCCAGCATGGAGACAAAAGCATTGCACTGCAAAATTTGCTTTCTAAGAAATTTCTCATGGAACTGTATTTGTAATATAAAAAAATATACCTCTTGATATTGGAATAAATCTGGTTCTTGCAAAGCCGTATTGGCATTTCTCAGTATAATTTGACAAGCGTTTCTTATCGTTTCCTCCAGACTGCTACTAACAGGATAATGTTTTAATCGATGGTAGCATTCATAGAGATAAGTTATAACGTCTGCCTGAACAGTATGACCATCGGCATCTTGCGTTTTAGATTTAGGATCTGACAATATCAAACGCTCGAAAACGGCGTGATCGATCGAATCGGTGTCGATGAACACCAGAGATCCCTGTACGGGATTATTGCTATCCTGACGTATCTTTATGCCAAATACGCGCGCCATCAGCTGATCGACCTTGTCGTCGAGAATCGCGGATTCCGTCTCATTTTCAGATTTATTGTCTTTAATCGTGCTCGATGACAATTGATCCACGTAATTGGCATTGCTGTTACTTTGATCGACAGTCGCCTTCTGATGCTGAGACGAGAATGAGACAGCATCATTGTCCGTGGAAAATAACCCAGCAAATGGGTTACCCTTTATATTGTCGCACATAATTTTTTTCTACAATATTTCCACAATTGGTATAATTAAACCACGAGCAAATTAACTTTTCGTCATTGTATTTTAATTTGTGTGCGTGTGCCCCGAAAATTCTGTTTCTCTCTCACGATATCTCCCCGGTATATCAATGTTTCCTTGGATAGTGACCGATTTATGCGCGATATGCATGAAGCGACGGAAAATCTAGAAAAAAACTATAGATTTTTCTCTGTCGCTTCGTTTCGTGTGCATCATGCATCATGAATCGGAAAATACAAAAGCGTCAGCAAGCTTTGGGCTGCGTTCGGAAATACCACTCGTGTGCACACGAATTCACACTACTCGTTCGGAAACTAGAGAGCTCCATTAACTTAGCCGGTCAACTTCGACTTGTTTAATTTTTTTTTTAATTGTTTGTTGGTCGTTTGTTGGTGATCGTTGGCCTAATTGCAACGTTTATTAGTTTATATATTTTTTTTAATTAAAAAAGAAAAATTAGCATTAAGTTAGCCGGAAAAACCTCATTTTTAATTAAAGCGGTCTAATCGATGCGTAATCGTTTGTTGATAATTGTTGGTCTAATTTTATCGTTTGTTGGTTTATTATTAGTTTTAAAAACAAAAAATTATCACATTGAGGCCGCATCTACAGAAATCGATATTATGATTTTGGTTTATTGCTTACGATTTAGGCCGGGTCTACAATAGATATGTAGTAAGCTCTAAGCCTTAAGAAATTGATCAATCACAGTCAATTATTCCCCTTATTCTTGACTGTGATTGGTGAATTTTTTAAAGCTAAGAGCTTACTACACCTGTTGTAGATCCGATCTTAGGCCAGGGGATCGATTGTCTACTTGTGTCGATTTTTCTCACTTTTTGCACATTTATTTCACGTGAAGAAATACACGCGATTGGCTATGAGCAAGGTGAAAATACGATATCCCTAGATTCACGGAAGCACAAACCATAGTGAACATTCCGTAAAGCGTATATGCATCTTAGAACATATAGATATGGAAGGGGAATAGGAGCGCAAAACTGTGTTCAAGTTGGGTGCGAGAGAGAACCACGTTTTTAAGGAAAGAGAAGGGTAGATTGTTACCTCCGTTCGCAATGCGCAAACGCGAATTAGCGAAAGCACCAATTACATTTCCAGTTTCAAACGGCGCGGTGAGCGTGACGTCACCGTGACGTCATCTATGTTTGCGCATTGCGAGTATAGGTTAAAAGCTATCTTTCTCTCTCGCACCCAACTTGGACACAGATTTTTACCATGGAGAACAATAGCAATTCCCCTTTCAGGTATATATGTTCTAAGATATGCATGCATATGTTTCAGTGATATCTTTATTTAATTAAATATAGTATAAAGCATTTGGTATTTGTTGAGCATTGACTGTCCAGTTTATATAAAGTAGAAAACACTATAAGAACATTTTAATAAAATAGGAAAGATGAAGGAAAATATTTGAAAAATTAACAACTTGTAAATGTGGTGGAATTGCTGTCTTTCTCTTTTTAATTGGCATAAAAGGTATCAATTCTTCTATTAGCTCCATAGTTGCAGCTTTATTTAACCTGAAATATATAAAAATTACATTAAAGATATATGAAATTATATCATAACAAGTAAAGAGATTATAATTTAAAATATAGATAAATATTCAATGTGTATATATATATATATATATATATGCAAATTATAATTTAACATATACTGCAAATGAAATTTATAATAAAAATTTATTTATATCTGTATAGTTTGACAAATGTAGTCTCTGGTGTATCAAACGAATCTAAAGTATCTCTTAATTGCCTCCTTATAATATTTTGATATTTTATTTGTTGTCTTTTATTATCATTATCGTCGTTTTATAATATCATAGCAATAAAATAATTCATCTTACATACGTAACTTTCTCGAGGTATGTGTGATATAGAGGATATTAAACAACACTATGCACGATTTTGACGTTATTCGACACAGAATTTCTTGCCGAACAGTTTCATGCGAGTTAGTTCGTATTTTCACTATGATGAAAGTTACCCAATCAAGCGAGAGCTCACGTTTGTCATTTTCACCATACTTTAAAATATACAATCGATTCCCAGGAGATCGATTGTGTATCTTGGGTGAGTTTGCTCACGAGATGAAAATTACAAAAGTGAAAAGATTTACTAGATATCGACAAATGAAACCGTGGATACTCTAGTAAATTTCCTCACTTTTGTAATTTTCACCTCGTGAGCAATTCACCCAAGATACACAATCTACCCTCAGGTCTACAATAGGTGTAGTAAGCTCTAAGCCTTAAGAAATCTACCAATAACAATCGATTATTTCCCTCATTTTTTACTTTGATTGGTGAATTTCTTAAGGCTTAGGCCGGGTCTACAATAGGTGTAGTAAGTTCTAAGTTTTAAGAAATTTACCAATCACAGTCGATTATTTCTCTCATTCTTGACTGTAATTAATCAATTTCTTAAGGCTTAGAGTTTACTACACCTATTGTAGACCCGGCCTTAGAGCTTGCTACACCTATTCTAGACCAGGCTTTAAGACTTATTTCTATAAATCTAAGGCACAGTATAACCATACCCAGTAGCGACAGTGAGCGTCGGCACCTTTGATGTAGTATGTCTCGACTCGGCAACGTCACGTGGTATGCCGCCATATTGCTAAGGGTAACGGGCGCTACGATTCAAATGTATGTACACACGGGGATAGGAATGCTTTTTTGAAGTTACACGCATATTAGGCATAATCCGACATGCTTCGATATTTTGATATTCGTGTTATGACTATAGATATTCGATAACGCTGTCTCAGTAAAATATTAAAATAATATATAAAGATATAATATATAAATAAAATATTATAAACAAATATAAATATATTAAGCTGTGAAGCACGTAATCGAGTTATGTCCGATATATGTGTAACTTTATATGTAGAGGCATTCTTCCATTTCTTGTATATATACATATGTAATAAAAAATAATATTTTTTAATATGTAATTCAAATTTTATAATTCAAGTTATATTCAAAGAATTTATTAAAGAAAAAATATTTCTGCATAGATTCCTTCCTAAAAAAATAATATCAAGCTAATTATCTTATTACGCGATTTCTAGCACTACACAACATATAATAACCCACTTACAGCAGCTGACGGCAGCCATGTTGCTAAGGGTATAAGTTCGCACATGCGCACTCAGATTTGAGACACGTTTAAATGGCCCACTGTCGCTACTGGGTATGGTTATACTGTGTCTAAGGCTTGTGGCGCCTTTCCATCTGGACAAACGTGGACGGACAGTTTACGAACGTACCGGCACCATTATACACTTTGTTTATATATCCCTAAATGTACTACTCACTTCCTCACGTACCGTTGTCTAGAGCAGACGCAGTATTATACCAAAGACTGATACCATTGTTAGTTGTATACCATTGTTATAAAATATATTTTTACTTATTAACTTATTAATTTTTATTTATTTTTTTTTTAATTTTACTGGCAAAAATTTCGCTTTTGTAATTTTTAAATATAAATTGATATACAAACATTGATTGGAGTTAATTATCTTTATTAAAAATGTTTAACAGATCCATTTAATCATACATCTATATATATGTGTACACATACTGACCGGCAGGAATGGTATCCGACGTCAGAAATGTACGACGGAGGGAACGAGACACCGATAGACAAGCGCGACCCGCGGTGTCTGCATGTCCGTATAGCTGTCTCACTCGCACTCCTTTAATTCATAGTCGAGTGAGTGAGACAGCTATTGGACACCACTAAATGACACGTCTTGTATTGCTTTCTCTCTCGATCATACGATGTTTGAGAGAGATGCAATATCGGAATACCCCCTACTACTTTCTTCTTCGCTTTTTGATCTCCGCCGCGCTTCAAGCGACACATACAATGTCGTGCTACGTATGTGTGCATATGATTTTCGGCTGTTATACACGTATATACACATCTGAAATCTGACGCCGGACACCATTCCTGCCGGTCGGTGTACATAATATGTAATATACATAAATAAAAAAACAAATTAACATAACATAAAATTAACATAACAAGAAATTAACATTTTAATAAAATGCTATATATCTCTCTCATTAATAAAAAATATTGTGTGGAAATTATCATATTGTAATGCTGTTATAACATATATATTATAAAATCTATTTTTATTTAATTTAAAAAATTCATTAATATTTTAACATTTATTAATTAATAGACAAAATGACAATGCTATTTATACATCTACAATAGAGTCATAAAGTCGTAAGAAATTAATCACAGTCGATTATTCACCTAAACTGCAACTATGATTGATCAATTTCTTACATTACAACTCTATTGTTGTTGAGTTTATATTTCTTTACTCATCTCGTATAGCTAATAAGTATATCTTCACAATTAATTGTTAATCGCCAGTGATCAATTTTAACAAATAATAAGATGCAATTTAATTCGACCAAAAACTGGCTATTTATTTATTGAAAATAAGTACACACTACGTTTCGACCCACATTGTGGTCCTTCTCAAGTGCTAGAATACAAAAATACATAATTTGGCAAGCGAAATTAACATTATATTAACACTAAATTTGATCTGTAATACATATTGCATGTATATATATATATATATATATATATATATATATATATATTATTCTCAAGATTATTAATATATTATTATTATATAGGTCGGCATTCATAGTCGGGTTTTATATTCAAGACCATCTTCAGTTTATCTTCAGATACTTTGTAGCCAATGAAATAATCCATACAGCATCTGAAGATGAACTTAAGACGATCTTAAGACCTGGGAGTCAATTGTGTAATTTTTTCTAAATTGGAAACGTGAAAAGTGAACAATTTTTGCCAATCGCATTGATTTTAAAAGGAAATCGATGTGTGATTGGAAGAAATTTTTCACTTCACATTTTCACTTTAGAAAAAGTTACACAGTCGACGCCTGACTATGAATACCGGTCTTATCGGCCATCAGCGGGTTATAATTGATATTTAAAAACAGAATTGATATTTAAAAATAAAATTGATAATTAAAATAGAACCAGAACAGAACACAAAGGAAAAAATTTTTCAGACGAAATACATCTGAACGCGTCAAAGGAAACTAACGAACTCTGTTATGTACGCACATGTGTGAATCCGTTCCAAAACAATAACAATGGCCAAGTTTTTAATCAGCTTATTCAACGATGCTGCACGTTGGATCCACAGATAATATAGAAATACATTATGTATATTATATAAATAAATATATATTTATATATACAACTAATGCTAGCATTCCATATATGC